CACCAGCCTGGTCTCCCCATGCAGCCTGCTGTTCAGTCGTTTGGTCATCCCTCACTAACCCCTCTGCCAGCCTGGTTGCCCCATGCAGCCTGCTATTCAGTTGTTTGGTCATCCCTCACAAACACCCCTGCCGGCCTGGTCACCCCACACAACCTGCTGCTCAGTCGTTTGGTCATCCCTCACTGCCCCCACCCCAGAGTTCTGTAGCACAGAAAGAGTATTCTATGCAGCTAAAAGAAATTATTAAAGGAAAAAGGTGGCAGAAAGTGTGAGGAAAGGCCTGATGAGAGAATGGGCCCGTGGGAATCTGGCTCCGGCTAGACTTGGTTGTTCCCCTGAGTTCCCTGGTGTTGGGATTTTCTGGTTCTAGCAACAGCGAGTATACCATGAGGGCATGGCCAGCAAAATCCTTTAAGAAACCCTTTACACACACACACACACACACACACACACACACACACACACACACTCAGCAAATAACAGCCAGGCCTGAGGTAACTGCAAATACCAATGAGAAAGTGGAGAGCCCATGCTCATGCCAGGAGAGCCATGAGAGAGCTGCAGGGAGGCCAGCATGGGCAGCCTTCTTCTGCCTTCCTGCAGGAATCAGTGGTATGGAGGCAGCGAGTTCCAGTTCCCCAGACTAACTGTGCTCCTCCTTTTCAGTGAGTTCACCTAGGTAGCTTGATGAGGGCCATGGTGGGGGTATTTACACCACAGAAATTGGCAAAGACTATACATCAGGGCAGTTTGGTTTGGTTTCATTTTCAGAAAGCTGGTAGTCAAACATTTCCCAATGCACTACTAGGGATATAAAGGGGCTGGCTCAGAAAAATGGAAAAACTGTAAAACTTTTTTTTTGCATTTCTTACTCTTCCCCTTTATACTAAGGCGGGAAGCTGGCAGTTGGACATGGTCTGTTATGGTTAATCTAAAGAAAGGGGGGAAAAAAAAAGCCAGACTGAACTGTTGCCTCACAGAGGCCAAAAAGCATTGACTGACAGAACTTGAAAATTTTGTCATTTTTTTCCCCATTAAATTCAAGTTCAACTCAGGTCCAAAAGAGCCGTCAGACTATGTATTTACATATGCCATCTGTTTGTAATAAATGTCCTGAAAAGGAAGATGCAGTAAAGTGGAGTAAGTCATATGCTCTTTTTCTCACCTTTTAAAAAATATTATTATTCTGACATATTTTACAGAATATGAAGACTCTATCTACTGAGAATTAATACCTTACCTCCTTATACCTAAACTAGAGGCCCAATGCACAAAATCTGTGCAAGAGTAGGCCTTCCTTCCCCTAGCTGCAGGCACCGGCTTCCCTCTGGCACTCAGGAATCGGGCTTCCCTCCAGCCACCAGCAAGCACCCAGGACCTGGGCTTCCCTCACACCCCAGATTTGTCAGAAAAGTCATCCGGAAGGACATCTGGTCTAATTAGCATATTATGCTTTTATTATTATAGATGGCAATTTTATCTGTTCCTCTTTCTAGATTGTTCTGTGAGAGTAAAGATGAAAAAAATAGGGACTGAAATGAAGAAGAGCTCTAATCTACCTTTATTAGTTTGCTCCATCTGCCATAACAGTGTGCCATAGACTTGGTGACCAAAACAACAGAAATTAATTTTCTCACAGTTCTGGAGGCTGACAGTTCAAGACCAAGGTGTCAGTAGGTTTCGTTTCTTCCAAGGCCTCTCTCCTTGCCTTGTAGATGGTCATCTTCTCACTGTGTCTTCGCATGGCCTTTCCTCTGTGTGTGTCTGTTCTTTTTTTTTTCTTTTTTTTTAGTCCTTTTTTTATTGTTATATTGCTTAAAGTATTACAAAGGGTATTACATATGAGTGTGTGTCTGTTCTAATCTCCTTTCTTATTATAAGGATACCAGTCATACTGAATTAGGGTTCACTCTAATAGTCTTATTTAACCATAATCACCTCTTTAAAGGCCTTATCTCCAAGTCCAGTCACATTCTGAGATACTAGGAGTTAGGATTTAAACATCTGAACTGGAAGAGGGGTGCATGGGGACACAGTTCAGTCCATAATAGTGCATAAGCATAAGCACAATGTATCCACAAGAAAAATTTGACCCAACAACATCACTGGTTGAGCTCCCAGAGCAGTAAACTCAGGAGGGATGGGAATTTGGATGCAGGAGGTTTGTTGGGAGCACTCTTGGGACCATTCACAGGCAGCCAGGACACAGGATTGGGCAGAGGGAGGGGTGGGCTGCAGCGCTGTTATAATAAAGGCCCTGACTAGCTGCGTGGGCTCTCTGAGGCCAGGGTGGTCCGTCAGAGTTCTCTGGAATTGAAGCAAAGGCCTGGGCCTTTATAGCCCTGCCTGAACCAGACGTAGGATGTGGGCTGTCCCAGGGAGGAGGCATGACGTGCATTAAGAGGCTCTCTTCAGCTGAGGACCAGCTCAGGAGGGGACTCAGTTGAGAGCTGCCAGTCACCAAGTTTTCAGGAGGTGACAAATGATTGAGACATAGCGGTGTCTCTGCTCAGTACACTGCAGTGTCCATAGCAGAATTTCTCCAAGTGAATGGAAGAACTTACTATTAGCTTCTTAAGAAATTTCTCACAATGTATCTTAGTAGGTCAAAGGGCGACCTATTATAAACCCTCAAACATTTGGTCCAATGCTAGACAAATAGAAATACCCAGCAGGATGGTCAGTGAGTGTGACTTGGTGGGAAAAGTATGTTCTTTGGCGCCAAAGGAGATCTAGGTTCAAATTTC